GATTCGACCAAACTTCAATTTATACACGAGTAACTATACCAAGAATAATCTATTCCATGATTTTAATCTCGAGTAAATCCATAGTCGTTTGTCCACGTAATCGATAGTATAATTGCGCTAGGAATAACAATACGCGAATAGCAAGAGAATGGTGAGCGAAAATAAAACTCGGCAAATAAATGTTGTTCTACAACGGGACAGTGTAAGAGCATACATCATGTCAACTCGATTTTGTCGTATTATAGAGTGAAAAAGTAGCTTTTAACAGGTGTCAAACGACAACAAAAAGTTTTTATTTCTTGTTTGTTTGAGGCTTTCGTCTAAAAAGGAACTTCTGTTGAGCCTAGTTGAATTTCATTCTAATATTATAGAAAATAAAAAATCTAAAAATAAATAAATAAATAACAAATTGTTTAAACGTTTCATTATACAATGCCAGACTATTAATTTAGTGCGTTGCGTTGACTTGAAATTAAAACACAGAATACATATTTGTGAAGTGACAGAAATCAGCTGATTGGACTGACTGACGCCATTAAATTATTCTAGGAATAGCTGTTATTCCGTGCGAAACGGCGGTATAGTAGCTATTCCCGAATAAGCCCACTATTCTTAGAATTTGTAGTTGGTAAAACGTAAAATTGATTTACTCTCGATTAACTGACGATTTATTCTAAGATTAAGATTTACTCTTGTTTGGTCGAATCGGCCCTAAAGCTTTCGTCTAAAAAGGAAATTCTGTTGAGCCTAGTTGATTTTCATTCTAATATTATAGAAAATAAAAAATCTAAAAATAAATAAATAAATAATAAATTGTTTAAACGTTTCATTATACAATGCCAGACTATTAATTTAGTGCGTTGCGTTGACTTTAAATTAAAACACAGAATACATATTTGTGAAATGACAGAAATCAGCTGATTGGACTGACTGACGCCATTAAATTATTCTAGGAATAAATAGCTGTTATTCCGTGCGAAACTGCGGTATAGTAACAATTCTCGAATAGGCCCACTATTCTTAGAATTTGTAGATGGTAAAACGTTAAATTGATTTACTCTCGATTAACTGACGATTTATTCTAAGATTAAGATTTACTCTTGTTTGGTCGAATCGACCCTCAATACAATTAAAAGTACAATTAGGTAAAGTAAAAGGGGTAGCCCAGCAACGTCACTTCATTTCAAAGTACATTATCATAAATCAAAATCATTTATTCATAAAGGTAACACAATGTACACTTATGAACTTCAAAAAAGAAATATATATTAAATGCTTATAATTTTACATTTACTACCAGTTCTCAAATCAAGGGCGTAGAACGGAAGAGAAGAACTGGCAATACACTCTCCGCCACTCTTTTTAATCGCCAAGTTTTTTGTTTTACACAATGTTTGTAAGGAGCTGCAACCATTACACAATTTTCCACATGTCATCTTAAGTAGTTAATAGTTAGTTAATAATAATAAAATATATTAAAAACAATGATTTGTCCTCTATCAGCAGGAAGCATGGTGAAACAGGAGCACGCACTTACATTCTCGTGGGAACAACACGCAAATACATACTCGAATTAACTAACATCACGGCATACACGATTTCAAGTCCGACCATTAACCATAGAAGTACTTGACTTATAATTTTATTTGTGAACGCTTTTTCATCGTGATATTTATCACGTTTATGAAAAAGCGTTACGAAAAAGGAGAAAATATAATCTTTAACTGACAAAATAAAGTGTTTTTATTATAAATATATGAAATAAACTTTATCTATGTTTGAAATCGATGGATTAACTTATAAAACATCCTTACAACTGGAAATTCACGCGATGCTTATTTGAATTCAATACAAAGAAAAATAGGCGCATTTTAGGCTTCGGGGAATGCCCAGGGTGATCTAATTTATTGACATCCCCACTTCCTCACACGTATCGATCGACCAGTTGTCAAGCAAATGTGCTTTTGCGGAAACCGTAATTAAAACAAAAGGCAAACGTGAAGGCGACATGTTAATTAAGCATTGTAATCAATTTAGGTCTAATTAGATGCTCATCACCGCAAGCGAAATTAGCTTTATAATTACATGAGATAATTGCTTTCTTTGACCGAGGAATACCTCATTTAGGAATTAGGATCTCATGAGGCTTGCTAGGTGCGTAATTAGTATTTTATTTGTAGCAAACAAGGAGACAAACAAACGGAGAGGAGGCTTGCGAGTGCGTTGCACATTTTTAGGAATCGATACGCTCTTTTCTTAAAGGACCCTTGGTCGTATTGGTTCGAAAACACCGCGACGGACAGCTGGTTGCACGTATTGGTAGAAGTCGCCTTGCGGAACGGGGGGCATAAAAGTTAATTGCGTAGCGTGCGTAGAGTAGTAAACTTGATCTGAAAACTTTCTCAATTTTTAATTGATGCTGCAGTGAGTCATCACCATCAGCGAGGTTAATGTGTTCCAACTGCCAAAAGACGCTAAGATTAGACCGCCATCTGATACGTTTCAATACCTTTTTTTATTCGATATACGATGAAGTATTTTTAATTTTAATAATAAATATTAATTATATAAGTAATGAAAGTATTCTTGTTTCGGCTTTTTTATTATATATATATATAATAAAACAGAAGAATATTTATTGTTTTATTTACATTTAAAGTATACATAACATATTTGAAATATACTTTACTATATTTCAAAGTTATAAAAGCGACCACAGATGCAAAATAATTATTAAACTGAACGTTGAATAACATTTAAACAAGTTTCGTTTGAAATAGTTTGTGGTTGCATTCATGTTTTTGACATTGCGAGAGCGAATGCTACATACATGCATCATACTGCGGTCGGCCATACCACACACACCACTGTAGAAGCTTAGTGTTTTGTTCGTAAGCGACCGTGAGTCAATATTATCTGTAACGCTGCAATGAAAATACTACTTCTTGGCTCTTGGTAATTCTTATCGGCATAGATCATTACTGCGGTTGAATAATATGTAATAAAAATTCAGAAATGTCAACTCATTCAAACACCCCCACAGCAAAAGCTTAAATCGAAGCTTACAGATTCCGTATATGTATTTTCAAAAAACCTTTCTAGTAAATTTGAAGTCGAGTCACCCATATACGTTTGTCCGTAGAGGTAACTAAATATGTTCTTTGAACATTGTTTCGTAGGGTTCTTAGTGTCAAAATTGAAATTTGTAATCTATTATAATATATCTAAGAAAATTTTAATTAAACTTTTGCGTGGCTTGTTAAAAGTTGGAATAATTAGGATTTATTCAAAATACGTAATAAAACAACCTAATTAAGTCTAGACAACTAAGATGACTCGTTCAGGTTCATAACTTTAAACTTATTTGCTACAGTTTAAAAAGTATATAGACATTGAGGTTTTCAATGTTTTATTCTAGAGCTGGTAATACTAAAAGGTTATTTATTTAATCTATCTACGATGGAAAAACATGTAAGGAAAACATTGTTAAAAATACATTTCCTAGGCTTATTTTACGTAAAAACTCTCCTTGTACGCGATCGCGTGTGTGCACACCAATTTTATAACCACAGTGAATTATTATTATGATATAAAATATTTATCCGGTTTTGGGAAGAAACGCGTATATTCCATTTTATATGATAATACATACCATCTCGCACACAGGAAATCGCTTTTTATTACAGAATGAAGTTTGAGATGCCGGCGTTAGGCGTAGCACGCCTAAACGATATTTATTTTCTTCTCTTATTTAGTAAATCAATGCTTTTGTACTTTAATTATAATGTTATACCATGAAACATAATATATTAGTAAATAGGAGCATGTAAATTGAAAACAAAAAGGTTTAGCTTCAAACTTTTCAGCAAGGGATAATCTGGAGCAGCTTATCATAAAATTATCGAATGAAGCCAATTCGATTCAACTTGAATTGTTCTATTTAGATGTATAATTCTATAGAAGCATTATAAAGTTTCTTTGGTTTTATAACTAAAATATTATAATCATTTAAATGTATCATTGACTACTAAGCTAGATATGCCACAATCATAATTTACTGGAAAAGTGCCTTCCATTCCAATTCTGACTTATACTTTATGTAAAGTATCCTCATTGATCGGAATGAGTTGTAACAATATTTAAACTACAGGAAGTAGTATTACTGACAAATCAAACAGATTCTGTTAATTTCTACAAATGCTTGTCTATAGCTATTTTCAAAATGAATTTCTATTACAGATATACAAGGAAAAGCGGCCTTGTACCGTGAAATGTAATGATAAATAAAGTAGGCATGTTCCGAATGAGGCCGAATACGGCAAAAGGCAGCCAATTCGGCTGATCTAATTGGCAAACTACATTTTTCTTAGGACACATGTTTGAGTCAGCGGTCACGTTTCGTTCGGTTTAGTCAAGAATGACGCGTTTATACCCACTTTCGTATTCTGGGGAGCTGCTTGTCTAACAAGAACACGCGATGTGCTTACGAACCTCGGCTTTTACATTCCTAAACCTGTGATTATTTCAGACGGCTTCTACATTTTCTTGCCGAATTTATATACAATATACTACAAAGATTAATACCGCAGTTTTATATTGGCAGCTTAAGATATATTTGCAAAAAATTGAAATTTTAAATACGTTGGATCATCGCAAGGTCTACAAATATATAGTGACCGCGTATCTCGGACGCCCCACTTGACAGCCAATATCCGGTTGATCCATTGTTCGGCTCATTGCGGATTCTGGATCGCGATCCTCGTGTCTTCGCTTCGGACCGCCTCTTTAAACACGATGACTACCATTTCTTGAACCTGAAGATAATTTCTTCTTTATACATATATATATAAATAACCATATCTATAACTCTTTCTTATCCTAACTAAAACTTTTATTGGAATTTATAATTAATATAGATATTACAAATGCGATGTATAAATTATTTACTTAGCAAGATTAGAATGTTTCTATACTTAACGTAAACTACGTACCTACCAGCTATGTTTAAGGACGAGTCTTCCCAATCTCAAGAGTCATTTACATACAAATTTCTGACGCAACCCAATTATGAAACAAAGATATTTTCAGAACAAGACAATCAAAATTCCAAGTAAGTAGGTGGAAACGGCATTCATCATAAATTCCTTTTAGAAATTATTTGAAGCGATTTAATTATCCATTTGGCCCTTTGTAGTGAAGGGGTTCAGAGCGTTAATAAGCTTCTTTTGCGGCAAAACGAGCGGAAACCTCAACTGCCTTGTCTTTCAACACTTTATTAAGCTTTTTGTTTTTCAACATTTGTTCTTCTTAGTCTTAATCTTAAAGATTTATCAGAGGTGTGGCTTTGAGCAAAGGGCAGTTACAAGAGGAGAAAACCATATCCAAAAATGCAGTCGGACAGAAAAAAATTCACTTCAGAATCACATTCATAATCACAGGTTCAGAAGTGATGTTGACTTTTAACGGGTCAGTAGTTTACTTTCTAATTAGTTCACCACGGACTCGACTCTTCCAATTACTGAATTAATTGAAATGGATTATTTTAAAATATATTTATTAATCTACAACATCATTAATAAAAAAAGATACGATTTATCAATTATTTATTTACAGACTTGCGCTTAATAAGCCACATTCTTCATTTAAGTCTTTCCGCAGACCTCGGCACCGACCGAATCTCTGCACGCCAATCTTCAATGAGTCACTGAGTCACTTCACCACCCAACCCTTGCACGAGACCACTAAAAATCTGTTGTGCTTACGACATACTCTTGAAGTGATGCTGTTATAGCCCAAACTACTTCTAGATCCCATATAAATTGATTAAACAAAAATTATTTAATTTGTGTTTATTTCCATTGTTGTAGGTATATAAATTGGTATGAAAAACTTTCCCAAGAAGAAGTATTTCGAGTTATATTTATTGACGAAATCACGGAGCTGTAAAATATCTTCGTGAACTAAATATAACAAGTCTAAAGTCACATCAGACCTATTTAATGCAGCATAAGCACGCGTTAAATAGATACATATTGTTAATTGTTAACTTAACAGCGACTTGACCATCTTTTTGATGTGACAAGACGTGTTTATTAATTATTGTTTTTGTTATATACTACATCTAGTAGTATAATAATAGGTAGGTAAATATGTACCTGTAATCCTCCTTCGAATATTTATTCGACTATCCATCCACAAAGTTGAATGGAACGCCTATTATAACAGCAATCATCGCAACATGGAATTTAGCATCCAACCCAGGCCTGAGTTTGCATTCTAGCGTCGACTTTCAAATGCGCTAGCATGGTCCTCTTTGTAAATCTGAATGTTATTAGGTCACATTTTTAATTACAGACCGCGGAAGGTTGGTGGCCGTGGGGTCTAACAATGATATTTAAGCCAAGTCTGCGGTTTCAATATCAACATTGCATGTGATTTCACGTGGTCTGCGGTGGCCTGAATAAAACTGATGTTTATCTACAGCACTACATGAACATATTACTAGCTTACAATTTGTAATCAATGCTTCCACTGTATGTGATTTCAAGCTTCATGGCTAGCGGCGAACTCGTACTTTGATGTATAGAAATTTATTAGGAAAAAGGTTTCACACTTCAGTATTATTTAATTTGATATAGATAGAGTATTAAAATTGCATGTCGTTTAGGCCTATAATGATCCTATCCTGCCTATCATGTTCCTTGTTTTAATTTACTTAAAGACTATATAAGTCTATCCGATCACACAAACATGTATATCGATATGAAGTTATAAAGTTTTAATTCGTATTCGGTCATTGATATAATTATTGAAGGCCCGTAACGCTCGTAAATTAACTAAGAACGGGGTAATCGATTTGCCGCGTTTTTGTATTGAGAGTTATCGGCAATTCTCTGCGACTAATTATACTATTCAAATTTTTATTATAAAAGAAACTTCTTATTCATTCGTGATTAGAACAGGTGAATTTGTATAATAAACACGTATCTCAAAGCTGCAACAATTGAAGATTGTCAAAATGTGGCGTCTTATATTTTGCATTGCTGCCATAACTGAATTCTCTTTTGCGAAAGATGGAGTAAAAAAACCATTGTATGACCTTAACAATTCTATTGAATTATTCGAAAAATTTACAAGATATAATAACCTACGATATACGGACAGAGAGGATAGAAGGAGACACTTGACAGCATTCAGGAAAATGTTAGAACGCATTAGAGCAGGTTTCATCCCCATTTGCATTAACGAGTTCGCTGACTCTACGTCTGATGAAATAAAAAATGTCGTTCTTGGAAATCCCACTAAAGGTATGTATACATTTAACACATAAAATAACTACTATATGATTCACTATCCTTAATCAAACAAATTAGTTTTGGAAAATAGAAGGCAAATAAAATTTAAACACTTATTATTACAAAAAAAAACTACGGGTTGCACTCCGGGAGTGCCGGCAGAAGTGAAAACTTGAATATTAACGTTGTGCATTTTTGATATCTTGGAATGGTTAGGTAATAATATTGCACGAATCGCTTTAATTATCAGTATACAAGTACTAACATTTATGTGGTAGAATACAATATTTATTTATTGCGCTATCGTACACAAACATAACAATTTATATTACACTAGCTGTCCTGGCGAACATCGTACCGCCTAACAGTCGATTCTTTATTTTTTTTAAATACTTATTCTGCTATTCAGGAAACCGGTCTAGCTAATAATATAAAAAAAAGAAAGTTGATAAGACAACAAATATATTATGTCAAAAAATAAAAATTTACCTTCCCGGAACCCCTCCACTAACATTTGAACTTTATGATATGGTATTAAAGTTCAAATTGACTTTTAAGTATTATTACGAATATTTTGTATGGGAATATAGAAAAGTGTTGTTTTTAGACTTTTTCACTCAATTTTTTTTAATTCTTCTCTCCGTAAGAACCATCCTCGTACTTCAAGGAATATTATAAAAAAAAATGAGACAAATCGGTCAATCCGTTTTCATATTATGTCGTGACAACGAAAAACGGGTTTTATTTTTATATATATAGATTAAATACGCCGCGTCAGCTGTCTACTCTCCATCCGTCTTACGAAACCTACACAAAATAATTAAAATTAGTATTAAATAATTCAATTGGGAAAATTCACTATTTTTTAGTTGCCATTTTTTATCTATCGACCAAATCGTTAATAATAAACCTTTAGACGTTCCGCAAAATTAAACCTTAAATTATTGACTTAAGGTCCAATTCCACATGCATAAATGTATCTGAGGAAAGAGACCAATGAATTGAAACCGTAATTATATAGCACGAAGGTTCATAATCCGTCTAACGAATTTTCGATGAGGACACGTGACCTGACGCGAGTTTAAATTTTTTACATATTCCAAAAAAAGTGTACAACGCCGCTAAAGAAGTTTTCACTTTAAAAAAAAATACATTGACTTCGTGGATAGGAATTGCGTATAAAAATAAGGAAATGTTTTTAACACATAATACATAATGTGTCGCGGGAAATTACCAGTATCCATTGTTACAAGAAAAAAACATTGTTTTTATATTCGCATGCTTTACTTAGGTGTATTACCTAGACTATATTATAATAATAATCAAAGCTATATTAGTGTAGATTTTATCAAGTGAAACAATAATATCTTCGGTACTAAACCTGTCACAATGAAGGGGGGCATAAATTGTAAGATCTTAAAATCGCCAATAAAGTTTGGAAAGGACGTAAATTCTTATGCGATTACAGCTCCACTAAAACTTGAAAACTCGTTAATCGAAGTTGTCCAACTCTGTGTACACTCTCCGCGGCGCCTGACACCACTGTCATTGGCAGCCTCGATCTCTGCTTCTTCCCTGTTATTTACGTAATAATTCTCTTATTCTATGAACAATATGTATATAATCAAAAGAGTAATTGATATTTATTTTCTTTATCAGCTGTATTTTTATATTTCATTATATAATATGTAACATTAATAGAAAAATCATTAGACTTCTGGGAACACTTGCTCGTACCACAGAAAAAGAATATAGTATGTAGTTATGTATTACACAATATATTTTAATTGTACACCTTTCATTATCTATGGGAACTAACCTTTTGTAAATACGATCACAATTTCTTTTATCCTAAGTGTGTGGGAGTGGGACATTATGAAGCAGATGCGTTGATGTGTAATTATTATTTGGGGCTATTTTTCGTTATCTTTTATTTTATTATTTAGTTTCGATTCTCAATTCCGTCGATCTTTTAACATTCCCCTAATGCACAAATAAGCAAAAATAACATATAGCCCTTAGGCTATCCTGAAGCAGATCTCTCGGTCAGGAATATAGTAGAGCAGTAGAATTATGTGAGTTTGAACACGACCGGTGGCAGCCGCACTCCTGTGGCGCACATAAATCGGATGGATTCTGGGCTATTTGTAATTTACGTACTTGTCGTGTAACAACAGGCGAAATCTATAAAGCTTTCAGGAAGAAAATATTAATTTGGTTAACAGATTTTATTTTACCACCATTTCTGCCGTGTCCCAATATTTTAATTTTTAAATTTTCCTAGTATATTTTATTTAAAAGACGCTTTTTTCGTTTTGAATTATAATATTACGGGATTGCGCATAATATATTTTAAATAAATTGTATGACAAAATCTACATCTTGTAGCAATGAGTTAGTATTTTGGATATACCTAGTATATCTGCTCCCAAACCGAACTAACGCAGGCGATTTAATGAAATTCACCCGTCGACGGCTTTCAATGAACTGGAGGGCATTAAAATTCCTAGAATCTGAGCTCGTGTTGACTTCATACTAATTTTGAAAACTATTTTGGTTTCCGGTGTGTTGTTTTCTATCGATTTATATATAGAATATGGTTTATTTATCTACAGAAAGTTTATAACGTAAATTAAAAAAAACGCATTGAAGTAATTTCACTTTATTCCTAAAACTAAAACCACCACTGACATGTTTTTTTTTATATATAATAGGGGGGCAAACGAGCTTGCGGGACGACCAAAAAGGGCAGTCTACGCAGCCCATAGACACCCAATTTTAGTGGGTGCGTTGCCGGCCTTTGATGGAGGAGTAGACTCGCTTTTTAAACATTTGGAGGTCGTCGATCTCTGAGGGAAGACCCCCCCGGGAGCCGATTCCACAGTTCGCTAGTTCGCAGAAGAAAATGCCTTGTGAAACGGACTGTGGAAGGCCTCCAACCATCAAGATGATGCTGGTGAAATTTAGAGGTCGTTCGGCTCATACGGTGTTGAAAAGAGGCAGGAGGGATCAACCCAAACAATTCTTCCGAACACTCTCCGTAGTAAACTTTGTAAAAAACGCAAAGAGACGCAATGTCTCTGCGTAGCGAGAGAGAATCAAGCCGATCAGTAAGACATTGGAGATTGACAGATGATTGAATGATATTTTAAATTAAATTATATTTAATTTAAAATATCAAGAAAGTGTATTTACACTTTCTTTTAAATCATATATCTTGAACCTGAAAAGGCCAAAAATGAGATGGTGTTTGAACTTTTCCTGTTTATGTTTGCAACTGATGTACTTTTTCTGTCTCAGCCAAGGAGATCCGATGAAACTTTATGAATTAAATTAAATTAAGTGCCGAAGCATGCTATATACGGCAGTATATTGTGAGATGAAAAATCCACAATTTCCTGTGGACTATTTTCTTTTTATGTCAGCAAATAGATTCGGCGTTTGGAGCTGCTCCAGGCGAGTCCGGTTATTGCCGCATAAATCCCTATCTAACGTC